TATTAGGAAAGGCGATTTGCAAAGATTCATAAAAAACCTTATACTCACTTCTGTAGGTGAAGCTGGATCACGAATGATCACGCGAAGATAGATGTATTTAGGTAGATCGGGGGTGCATTCCCTTCAAAAACAAAAGTAATCCACTGCGTCTTCAGCGGCTCAGATGTCGGGAGCAAATGACGACTGCTGTGTTCATTATTACATCCAACAACAAAACACCTCAATCACTTAGGAGCCATTCTTGTCTACTCCTGCTCCGGCATCGAAACAATGGCGGACTGTCTACAGCTCACTCAGGGCGGGTCTCACACCAGTGTCAATCAACTATTGTGGGAGGGGCCTGGGACTGTGTGACGTCACACTGGCAGGAATCCGAAAACAGCTTGATATGAGAAAGAGGTAATGATTTTAGGAGATTATAAAAAAAATAATATAATATCATTATGGTGGTTGTGTACACACACTGCCAACACACATTTATGTTCAAACAACATGTAAAAGTGCATTTTGCATCCGATGACCCCTTTAATGTTTAGAAACAATAAATGCACACTACAATAGCATTTTAATTTATAGTCTGATTCAGGGGTGTGAATCAGATTTACCTGAACACATCGATGTGTCTGTAAGGAAAATCCAACCAGTGGATCTTTCAGATCTCTGCAGAGAGGAAGACTTTTCTGTTGAGTTCAGGTCAGATATTACGAGTGTCGTATATACTGTAGGTGTGATGCGTTATGGATATTGTAACCAGGCATCCCAATCATAGATTCCTTTTATTTATAGAAAAAGAATACTTTAATCTTTTAACTCTCAAGCAACAACAGACTCCTCAAGTGAAAGATGAACATTAAAGGGAGGTTGAAACAGTGAAAGTGTTCCTGTCAGAGCAGTGTGAGATTTTCATAAACAGTTTGTATTGCTGTTATATTTCAGTCTCTGGCAGAATGAATCTCCTGAACCCAGCTGTGTGTCCATGAAGAGTGACCAGTCAATGGATTCTCCACTTAAATTCAGTTTGGAAGAATCATATGCTGATCTGAGGTGTTGTTTAGTTTACAGTATAAGAAATATATATGATATTCATTAATTTTCCGATGTGCATTAAATACATTAATACATGTTTACAAAAATATTCAATATTTGTTTAACTACAGCAAAAAACATAAAGGACCGGAATCACATACAGCAAAGAAGAACATAGACTCTATTTTCAAGGTTGGTTTTGTGTGTGTGTGTGTACCTACTTAACTATATTTTGGGGACAAATTTGTCCCCAAAAGTGAGCTAAACCTGACAAAATCTCCAAAAACCTCCCTTTGGGGACATACTCATTTGTAAAACTGGTATAAAAATAAAGTAAACAAAGTTTTTTTTAAATTGTAAAAATGCAGAAAGTTTCCTGTAAGGGGTAGGTTTAGGTGTAGGGCAATAGCACATACAGTTTGTACAGTATAAAAACCATTACGCCTATGGAATGTCCCCATTTAGATAGCTAAGTAAACGTGTGTGTGTGTGTGTGTGTGTGTGTG